GAAGGGAAAGGAAAAATGATGAGAAATGGAAAAAATGGAAATAAAGTCTTTGTAAATAGGGAAGGGTGGAGGGCGTGAAGGGAGGGCTAAGAATGGGGAAAAAATAAGAACGAAGATGCATTATGCAAAGGTACAATTCCCAATGAGAAATGTAATTGTGTTGTATACTCACAATGTACCAATAAAAGAATTTAATACAAAAAAAACCTTTTTAAAGTTACAGATATTCTAATTGAGATTAACAGGGTGATTATAGTGGGTTAAAAGGTGTCTATTAAATTTTATTTTATATTAAAATATTTTTGCAACATTTTTATCAGTGCTTCAATTGTGTGTCAGAGTTAACTAAGAGGTTTATTAAACATAGATTGTATAGGAGTTTCTGATTTTGTCAGTCTAGGGTATGGTCCAAAAACTATATTTCTAATAAAGAACTGGGTGCCACTAAATCTTGATAATGTTAATGGTTCAGAGACTTCACTTTCAGAACCACCTTTTAAAAACCAAATAATTCTTTTAATTTCCAAGTCATGAGTTTATTTAATCTTCAAATTTTGGTAAAAAATTAAGATCTGACTTTTATATTTATTGATATAGCGAGAGAATGTACACATTTATGTGATACAGTGTGATAATTCAGTACATGTATATAGTGTATAATGATCAAAATAGGGTAATTAACATTTCCCTCTTCTTAAACATGTATCATTTCTCTGTGTTGGGAACCTTCAGACTCTTCTCTTCTTGTTTAGAATGTAGAGACACCCTACTATGCTTTAGAGCATTGGAACTTATTCTTCCTCTCTAGTATTTGGTACTTGTGACACACCTTCTGTCTCCCTTCCCCCTACCTTTCCTAATATTAGTGACAACTCTTGTCTCTGCTTATATGAAATCAGCTTTTTTAGCTTGCACATGAATGAGAAACCACTGTTTTTATTTTTTTTTTGAAGTACCCATTTTCTACTGCTATAATCTATTAGGTCATATTTTTGTTGAATATGTTTCATTAAATGTATGTGTTAGTGAAGTCATAAATGTGTAAATTTTTTTCACATTCTATTTTCAATTACACATTTTTTCCATTCTTAATGTGTACTTCATCATATGTTCCCATTGTCTTAATTCTAGTGAGTTGTGCCATATGGTACAATATCATATTAGAAGGGTATTACATAGTTCTGAGAAGTGTTTTACTTTGGGTTTTTTTGGGAGTGGGGTCAAGAGGATGGTCAGTTGGGTTTTGGGCAGTGGATGGTCAGTGGCTTCGATCAACAGGATGGTCAATGGTTTCTTGGAAGCTAGTCTGACTTTGTGGGGATAAGGATTAAATTTGATTCAAAATTAAACTAATTAAATCATACCATCTTCCTTTCATTAATAGGCCAGTAGCAGAAGTTTTCTTTCACAGCCATATATACCAAAATTTTTAGGACTTTGTGACACATGGCGTGTTGTTCAGTGGTAGGGAACCATAGTAGATTTTAGTTAGTTTGTAAAGAGGCCTAGGACAGAAAAGAAATACATTGTTTTTTGAAAATAAATGTCTAAAGTTCCAGTTTTCACAAGATAGTAAGCAGTGTTTTCAGATGTTATTTTAGTAGTATGTAGATAAGTTGAGTAGGAAAACCTATAATTACATGAAGTAGATTATACTTGCTGCCATTTGCTAAGATTGCTAATGTAAGAAGCTAAACAGTTATTTCTACTTTTGTGTGTACCTTTCAAACTTGGATCATTTCACTTGACTTTTGTAAGGAGTAACAGTTTTTAAAATCTGAATTTTTATATAATGGCTTACAACTTCACAAAACAATAGGAAGCAAAAAGCAAATTAACCTAATAAATTTTACAGATATATTTATTGGCAAAAGATTAAGTATCTGTCCTTCAAAACCTCAAACTGCTTATAGTGATGAGAAAATATTGAGGTTCTGTTTTACTGTTAATAAAGGCAGCAGTGTATTTTCCCTTTTTTTATTACCCCCTTCCTAAAATTCATGTTTATATTAGGAGTGGAAGAAAAGCACCATCCTACTTTATTTAATTTATAGTTTTGAAATAAGCTATATTGTTTTCCAAATCTAATTTAATCTATAAATAAAAATATATTTTTTAACAGGTTTCTATAATCCAGGAATTTGTTAGTAACTATGAAGCCTCTCTTAAAACATGTGACTTTTTTAGCCCTTATGGTAAGTTTAAATTAGATTGAATTGGAATTCGATCACTCATTTCAATCCATTTTTAATCACAATAACACTGCTTTGTGTGTGCTACATAATAGCTGCTTATTAAGTTACTTTTTAATTAAAATGAAATGAGAGCACTTTCAATCTTATTTAATTTAAATTTTCCATAATCCTATCCAATGGGAATTAGCCCTATTTTAACCTATTGAGAGGTTGAATGGCTTAATTACAATCTCTTTTTCCTGAATCTCTTACTTTTTCTAATATTTTAATTTCATGTTATCTGTTCCTCTATTTCTCTGATTGTAGAGGCATATGTGAATCAAGGGCATTTAATTTAGAAAACCTTTTAGAATGTTTTCAGTCTTGCAGATAATAACTTTAGCCTGGGTTTTTCATGTGGTTTTCCATGTCATTACCCTTTGGGTATTTTATTTCTCTCTTTTTTTTGTGGGAGGGTACAGGAATGGAACTCGGGATCTAAGACAGGAAGTGGCACCACTGAGCTAAATCCCCAGCCCACCCTTTGGGTATTTTAAAGGAAATTCCAGATACACTATTTCACCTGTAAATGCCTTAGTATTATCTCTGTTTAAAATACACAAAATTAACCTCATACTGTAGTATTTAATATTCAGTTCACATTCAGATGTCCTCCATTATCCAAAAAAAGTCTTTGTATAATTGATTTACTTGTATTTAGATCCATTTAAGGTTCATGTTTTGCATTCAGTTATTATGTTTTATGTTTTTTAATATACAGCAGTAATGTCCCTTCCCTTTAAAAAATGCCTTTTGTTGAAAGGTCCCTTTGTAGTAGTCTATCTCTTATTCTAGGTTTGACTGATGGCTTTCTCATGGTATTAACTTAATATATTTTGTCATCATTCATATTGCCTGTAGTATGGATAGTTAGATTTACAGGCTTGACTGGATTCAGGTTCTGTTTGAATACTTCACAGGTAGTGCTGTGGACTAGATGTTGTGTCATACCAGGAAGAAGGAGGCATTCTGGTTACCTCTTTTTTGATGTTAAGATTGATCAGCATTCCTTGTCAGCAAGATGTGCCTATGAAAACATTTCTCATGGACCTCTGACCTGAGGATTTTAACAGATATTGAGGGTCACTACCTAAATTCCTTATTTCATTCTTACTAACTTTTCTGCATTTATTAGTTGTTTGGGTGGTTTTTTGTTTTTGTTCTGTTTTGTTTTGGTGGAGGAATGCTGGGAATTAAACCGGGGGACTTCCATGTGCATGGTAGGCGGATGCTGTACCCTTTAAGGACTTTTCTCTTGGGGCTGGGGATTTAGCTCAGTGGTTTCACCGCCTGCTGCGCAAGCGCAAGGACCCGAGTTCGATCCCTGGTACCAAAAAAAAAAACCCAAAAAGAAAAAAAAATAAGACTTTTCTCACACCAAGTATTTGGTTCTCCAGAAACACAGTTTATGTAAGAGGTACACTATAAATACTTGACTGTTACCTTTTTTTTTTTTTAATTATAAGGGTTTGATTGGTTTGCAAAGACAAGTAAATGATTTTTTAAAAATTTTTAGCCGGGAATTTAGCTCAGTGGTTCTGCCACCTGCCTCGCAAGCACAAGAACCCAAGTTCAATCCCCGGTACCAAAAAAAAAAATTTTTTTTTTTAGTGGTAGTATATGTTTGCAGTACATAATAATTAAATGCCTCATGAGGTGTGTTTTTTTTTTTTCCTCGTGAGGTGTTGGTACATGTACATAAACACATCTTAATTGTTTTAACTTATGCTCTAGTGTGTTTGTATTATCTTGTCATTTGGTTAGTAGCTACAGTAGGAGATGTGTTTTGATGTCATACGGCTAAATTTATTCTGTCCACCTTCATTTAAAATTTGTATGTGTTCCCTTCTGAAATCTGTTTTGAAAACAGCTGTTACTTTAGCTGCTTATAGCTTGCTGGTTCAGGATGGGGAGCAGAAGAGGGCTCAGCTGATTGTATATATGTGACTCCTTTTGTTAGAAGACTTAAGTAGTGTTCACTCAGATTTTTGATATGTGGTAGGGATAGTTCCACCTTGTTAAGGGTGTATCCTCTTCCTTGTGAGTCATACCCTTCAACTTTGGACTCTCCTGGTCAGCTTTGAGGCCTAGTAAATGCTGTTCTCTGGCAGGTTGGCAGTTCTAATCTCTGCTGAGGTCTTGGCAGTGGTAGTCTCTTCTTCTGGCTTCCTTCTTTGACTTTTCCTGGCATGTTCATTTTGCTTTCAGCCTGAGAATTCATAGATTTAGATTGATTTATGACTTTCCTCAGCACTGTTTCTTTGAAGGGAGGTTGGAACTAGAAGCCTGTCAAAGTAGGATTTTGTTTACTCTCTTTGGCTGCCACCATTTGAATTTTATAACATGAAATCATAGCTCCTTTTGTTGCATGTGCTAATTTTTGCTGAATTTTTATTCTTTATTATAACAACTACTAATTTTATTATGAGTTAGGAGAGAGAAAGTATGTGGCTTGCTTTACCTAGAATTCTTCCTTATAATGATTTAATATTTGTTTGATTGCAGAAAATGGGGGAGAAGGAAACCCCGACAACTATACTCTGGGTTCAGTATTTCCTGGCACAGCACTTTGATAAACTTGCACAATATTCTTTGGCTTTGGATTATATTAATGCTGCAATTGCTAGTACTCCAACTCTAATAGAATTGTTTTATATGAAAGCGAAAATTTACAAGGTAAAATCTTAATCATGTTTTTTGAGTTTGAGGAATTCAGCCATTTAAGAAGTCTTGGAATTGTTTTTATGTAGCAGTAACTTCTTTTTTATTTTTTTTGGTACTGGGATTGAACTCAGGACCTTGTGCTTTCGAGCCAGGTGGGAGCACCACTGAGCTAAATCCCCGGCCTAGTAGAAGTAACTTCTAAGGCACCCTGATAATTTTTTTCTAATATTCAATCCTATGGAGTTTTATGCTGCATACTTGTATAATCAGCGTTAGGCACTTGGTTTAGTTCTTGTTAAATGTAAATTGTAATTTTCTGGATTTCTAGATAAATTTGCCAGAAATGGTGTCAGTTTTCTAATGTGTCTTTATAAACTTTTTCCATTTATAGTACACTCATATTCTCGATCATAGATAACTGCAATTTCTTTAATGCTTTAATCTCTTAAAGCATATAGGTAATCTCAAAGAAGCTGCGAAGTGGATGGATGAAGCACAGTCTTTGGACACAGCTGATAGATTCATCAATTCTAAATGTGCAAAATACATGCTTTGGGCAAATATGATAAAAGAAGCAGAGAAAATTTGCTCCAAGTTTACAAGGGTAGGAGAGAGCATACATGAGCATGTAATTACTTGAATTAGTAAAATTGTGAGGTTGCCCCTGAAATTAATAAAAATTCATTTCTTTTTTATTTTAAGACTATTTATCCATATCCTAAGTATAGTTTCCTACTGTGGTTGTATATGTGTTTCTCTATGTATTTCTGGCAGGGGATGATTAAAAGGGCTCAACAGGAACAAAATACTTTGTTAAAAGTTTGAACAATATGCCATTTTTATGTGTAAAATTGTTCTGTATAAGGTTGGGTCTATCCCAAATTCTTTGTCTCCCTAGTGATTTGTGACTGCTTTTTAATTCTCTTTTACATTGTCTTACTTCAGAGCTGTTTAGAGACCTTTCTATGTATAAGTAATTTCTTTTTTTTTTAAAGAGGCATAAAGAAGTTTATTAGGAGGAAATTAAAAGGCCCTCAAGAAAGAGGCTTATTAAAGTGTGGAGCTGAAAATACTTGTTTTTGGCAGTGGAAATCTGGAATTTGTGAATTTGTGGAAAATTTGTACAGGATGTAGAAGTAATTTTTTTGCACTTTTTTAAATCTCTGATATTCTGCAATTAAATTCTTTTAAAAATTTTTTAATTTGAACTACATAATGACTACATTCATTGTGGGAAGTTGGTATATGTGTATAACACATCTTAATTCTTTTTACTTCCCCCTGTTCTTCCTTATCTCCTCCCTGTCTGGAATTAAATTCTCTGATATTGTTGAGCTAAATATCCATTCCTTTCCTTCTTTGGCCATTCTTAACGTAGACTTTTTGCTATATTATGAAAGTGATACATGTTTATGGTTAAAAGTGTAGGTAGACTAATGGAATACAAAGCTCTCAGAAACATAATCACATATATTTGAAAACTTGGTATATAGCCAGAAGTACTTTTAAAATTAGAGATGAAAAGATAGGGATGGGACAATTAGTTACTTAGGGTTAGGGTTAGGCTTAGGTTGAAAAAAAATTAAATGGCACCCCTGTATTTCACTGCACACAAATCAATTCCAGGTGGTTTCAAGATCTGTATATTAAAAGCAAATCTTTCAGACTTTTGGAAGAAAACAGGAGTCTATCTTTAGGCTAAGGAAACATGTTTTTATGTTTGAGTTAGAAAGCATGCCACCTCCTTCCTCCTCTCCTGCTCCTTTCTCCTCCTCCTCCTATTCCACCCTTCCTCCATTTAAAAAATTAACAGTAATAATTGTACATATTAATAGGGCTCACTGTGATGTTTTCATATATCCATACAATGTGCACTGATCAAATCCACGCACCCTGTAGGCATTCCTTAAGATACTAAGAGCATAAAGTGTGACTGAAATTATAGTGCTTGACTATATTAAAATTTCTGTATAACAAAATAACCATAAGCAAAGTGAGAAGAGAATTAATTGGAGAAGACATTTTCAACCTGTGATAAAGAATGTATAAAGAACTAAAGAATTCACTGAAATAATTATGCAGTACACATTGAATGTGATATTGAGGCATAATGAGGAAACCATGTTTGCAAGTTTGATTTCCAAGTTTTAATGAAGATGCTTTGGAATAAGTAATTTACATCTTAAATAATACACATTATGTGCAAAGTGGAGGGCATTAGTGGTGAAGTTTGCCAGTAAGTTTTTAAGATGAAAATAAGTTCCTGCTATGCCCTATGATGCTAAGATATTGCTGATGTAGCAAAAATTCACCACCTTAAATGTTAAGTAGGTTCTAGGTATGTCTCAATGTTTAGAGAAATCCCTTATAATTGATAAGCCACAGAATAGCTTGATCTTCTAATGTGAAAATTTCAACTACTTGGAAAAATCATGTCTTAGAAATAAACATGTGAAAGTAAAAATACAATAAAAAAGATAAGACACCACAAATATGGCCAAAAGATATGAATAATTAGTTCACAAAAGTGGAAAATGGAATGGCAAAAAAAAGGATATCTTTACTTAGTAATGAGCAAAATGCAAATTACAACAGTATGGTAGTGTTGTATCTATCAAATATGCTGATCTTAAAGTCTGGCGTGACTAGGTATTGACAAGTAATTTTGACATACACACCTGTGCAGTCATGTGTTCTCAGTTTATAGGCCATACCTATAGAACATTTGTTTTTTGTTTCTTATAAATAGAATTTTCTCATATGAGCTAGCCTGCCATTTGGTGTTTACAGTAATGCTAGTAATTTATCACTTACAAGAGGAAAATAGATTTAACATTTTAAGTACTGAGCTCAGTACTTTATATACATGATCTCTTTCTCCCCGTAATTATAGTTAAGAAAGTGTTTGGAGAGGTCAAGCACCATGTAGGCTGCAGATCAGATTATTCATCTGGAGCCAGGATTCTACATATTTGATTTGAAAACCCATGTTCTTTGTGTTAAACCTGGCCAGAATTGTGTAATATTAGCAGAAACTGTAATAACTAGTGTTTCTAAAACTCAGATGCCACGGGATCAGTAGCAGATGCAAAACAGCATAGGTTATGTTGGGAGAGAGGATGAATGAGAATGATGGGTTTTAAGAGAAGAAATTACATTAGAGAAATAGTAGTGCTGTTTATGTTCATGTAGCACTTAGGTGTCTCTGATATTTTACAGCAGGGTAATTGAAGTTCTGAAGAGGCTAGCTACATAAAGCATTTTAGTCACATTGTAAATAGTGCTGTTAGGGTTCAAACTTTTCCAGTGTCCATTCTATCATGGTTATGAAGATTAGAAGGGAGTATAATGAATAAACAAAGCGCTTAGGTATTAAAAGTACTATCTGAAAGGCCTAGGTAGGGATTAGAAATAAAGTATGATTAAAAGTGAGTATAACAGTACAAGACTTATTAAGTTAAACCCATTCCTAAAAAAGAAAGAAATAGAAAGCTGGGCATGATGGCACACCACCTATAATCTCAGTGCCCTGGGAGGTTGAGGCAGGAGGACTGGAAGTTTGAGCCCAGCCTTGGAAACTTAGTGACTAAAAACAGCATAATGTGTCAGAGTAGACAAATGAGAAAGTTGTTTGGAAGGAATTGGTTAAAGAGAGTGGTCATCAAAACCAGTGTCACAGTTTACTCATCATAATTGTTTCCAGTCATCTGCTTCTGACAAGTTGGCATACTGTATGGCGAGCTTGTTCAGTATATCCTTACTGGCTCATTGGCCAGGTTAGTCAATAGTGTGTGGTAGATAATATAGTGACCAGGGGAAGAACATTGCTACTGGCCCTTAGTAATCAGCTTAGTAATCATACTTACTAATATGAGTGAAGTACTCATATTTCTTTTTATAGATCTTTCACAGTTTAGAATTATAGAAGGTTGCTAATACAAATTTGGCAGTTCTTTATGGAAAACTTTTTGAGCTGGGCATGGTCATACACACCTGTAGTTCCAGTACTTGGGAGGCTGAGGCAGGAGGATTGCCACATGTTTGAGGGCAGCCTGGACTGCATAGTGAGACCTTGTCTCAGAAAACTAAAACAAAAACCAAAATAAAAATAACTTCTATCAAAAATTGAAAAATATACACAGCCATAAAGAAGAAATAAAATATATCTCTAGTTCTGTTCATCCAGAGATAATCAGTTTTTAGACTTTGGGTGATTTCTAGGAGTTGAACTGATAACACAAAATGTAAGTAAAAAAACTTAATATTGATAAAATTATTATTTTTGGTACTGGGGATCGAACTCGGGACCTTATGCTCTCGAGGCAGATGGCAGAACCACTGAGCTAAATCCCTGGTCCCGATAAAATTATTTTTTATAAATATACCTTTGCCATCTAGCCTGGGGTCATACAAATATGTATTTTTTTCTATTTACTTTTTTAAAATAAATTTTATTTTATTTTATCCCATTCTTCCCTTCAAGCCCCCTCTCCTCCCTATGTACAAAAGCTTTGTTTCCATTTTTTTCCTTCTATTTTCACTTTTTTTCTTGTCATGTCCTTCCTTTCTTCCTCCCTTCTCCCTTGTTTCCTTTTCCATTTGAACACTTTCTTCCCATTTCCCAATGTCCATTTTACATCTCAGTCCTTATTGCCACATTCAGTTTTCTCACACCAGAGAAACAATGCGGTGTTTAAACCTATGTGTCCAGTTTTTTTCACTTAAGAGTATGGTCTCAGGGTTCATCCATTTAGCTATAAATGTCTTCTTTATGGCAGAGTAGTATTAAAAAAGCCACATCTTTATCCACTCATCTGTTGATGGGCATTTGGACTGTTTCCAGGATTTAGCTATTACAAACTGTGGCACTATAAACATGGGTGTGCATATATCACTGTGGTATGATGTTTTTAATTCTTTTGGGAAGATACCAAGAAGAGGTATAGCTGAGTCAAAAGGGAACCTCTAGCTTTAGTTTTCTGAAAAATCTCCACACTGATTTCCACAGTGGTTGGACCAGTCTACACTCCCACTAGCAGTGGAGAAGGGTTCCTTTTTCCCAACAGCCCCTCCAGCATTTGTTATTGGTTGATATCTTGTTAGCAGCCATTCTCTCTGGAGTTAGATGGAGTATCAGTGTTGTTTTAATTTATTGATTGACTAATGATATTGAACATTTTTTCATACAATTATTTGCCATTTGTAATTCTTATCTGAGGAGTGACTTTTTATTTCAGATGCCCATTTTTGCATTAGGTCTTTAAATTTGAAGGGGTTGATTTTTTTTTTTTTTTAGTTCTTTATATATTCTAGATAATAGTCCTTTATCTGAATAGCTAGTAAAAATTTTTTCCACTCTATGATTTGTCTCTTCACTCTGTTGGTGGTTTCTCTTGCTGTGCAAAAGCTTTTTAATAAGATGGGGTCCCAGTTGTTGATTCTTTGTAGTATTATGGGGTCTGGGTTTTGTTCATGAAGTCTTTGCCTACTCCTAATACATATATATTTTAAATAAATCTTTTCTGAAGTGTGACAAAACTCCAGTGCTACTGCACTGAAATTTAGTACTTCATGTCTTAAACTCTTCTCAGAATTATCATTAAGTCGGAATTAACAAGAAAATTTATTTTTTCTGTTCTTGTGGATCAAACCGAGGGACACTCAACCACTGAGCTACAGCCTCAGCCTTTTTTATGTTTTGCTTTGAGATAGAGTCTTGGTAAGCTACTCAGGTTAGTCTCAGATCCTCCTGCTGGTTACGATTTTCCTGCCTCTTTCTCCCTAGTAGCTGGGATTATAAGATGTGCCACTACACCTGACTATAAATATAACAAGTTCAGTTATTTTTTGGTTTGGTTTGGTTTGGTTTTTTCTGTGCCTGAGAGATAGGAAAATAAGAGTTGTGATGAAACAGGAGATGTTGTTAGAACCAGACATATAGGCACAAAGAAAGTGACAATGGATAGCTTAACTAGGAGGAAGGAGACTGGGGAACCGAAAAATGCGATTAGAATTGTTAGTAAGAGATAAAACACAAAGTTAGCTATCTATAGTGCCAACCCTGAGTTAGTAAGGAAAGGTTAAATAGCAGAAAGAAAATGAAAAAAGAGGAAGGGGGAAAGAAGAGAAAAAAGAAATGCATAAGACAGGCAGTGCTTCATAAAATTATTGTTTTAACTGCCTGCCTCATAAGCGCAAGGTCCTGAGTTCAATCCCCAGTACCAAAATAAAGATTGTTGTTTTAAATAGTTAGTAAACTTTGAATATTCATTTATTTATGTTTATTTATTTAATTTATTTTGAGACAAGGTCTCACTGTGTAGTTCAGGCCGACCTTGTACTCACTATATAGCCCAGGCTGGCCTTGAACTCACAGCAACCCTCCTGCCTCAGCCTCCTGAGTGCTGGGACTACAGGCATGTGCACCGTGCCAGGCTGAAATTTTAAAAACTAAGCTTTAACTAAGTAATCTGGAGTCTTCTCTATGTAAAGTATAGAATCACAAACATGTACTAATAAAAAATTTAAAAACAGCCATAAGACCTATAATTTTCAAACATTAGGAGCCTTGGGGAAACATGTTAATACATTTGTTAATTGTTGTTGATTGTCATAATAATACTTGTGGCCAAAAAAAGAAAATACTTGTGGCCATAGCTTTGAGATTCTTAGGATGTTTTATTGTTTGCTCATTATAGCTACAAATGCTTACATTTTAGGAGGGAATATCTGCCATGGAAAACCTAAATGAAATGCAGTGTATGTGGTTTCAGACAGAATGCATTTCAGTTTATCAGCGGCTGGGGAGATATGGAGATGCCTTGAAAAAGTGCTGTGAAGTAGAAAGGGTAAGTTATTAGAGATTTTTGTTGTTGTTGTTGTTTTAATTAATTTTATTGGTACATTTTAGGTATATAATATAATGACATTCATCTTTGGTTTTTTGTTTTGTTTTTTTTTGGTACGAGGGATCGAACTTGGGGCCTTGTGCTTGTGAGGCAGGCACCAGAACCACTGAGCTAAATCCCCGGCCCTCTTTCCCCTTTTAAATGTCAGGATCTGGTCTGCAGTCAGCCTCTCTCCAGTTGTCTTCCCAGGGAGTTTCTTCTTATGTTCAGTATTTTGTATAGCAATGTATGGCCAGTTTGCAGGTATATTTTATTACTTGCTTTTAGAATTGTATGTGATATGCCTTAGAGAGGAGACTTTTCTTTTCCTTTGTGTGAATTTTTTTTCCTGTTCTTTGTCATCTCTGAAGCACACTCCTTCCACATGGACCACAGGAGGAAAAGAGCTGCAAATGTACACCTGAGGCAGTCCTCAGCAGCCCTCAGTTGTGGGGGCACTCGGCATCACTCTCCCCCTGCTAATGCAGTATAAAACCACGGGCGTCATAGTCAGGTGAGCCTGATGTCTGCACCTTCTTCCCATATGAAACTTCTTCCCATTTGAAACTATAGATTACCTAGAGAAGGCTATATCTTAGGGGGTGGCTTTTGATGAGAGCTGGAAGTAGGATAATACTTTTAAAATCTTCATAGAAATAACCTAACTTTTTCCCTTTTTCGAAACTTCCTGCCCTTTGAAACCTTGATGGCTATCTTTAGGGAAAATCTTTTTTCATTGTTTCCTTGAGAAATATAAAGCCTTGACTCACATGGGAAATATCTAAGAATTCCTAGTTTCTATCAGGCTCTTCTTATTTCTGATAAAACTATAGATTGCTAGCTTGTTTTGACACTTCCTGGATGACCATCACTTTAAAAATATTCTGCTTGTTATTAAGGAAAGATACATTTTTTATTAATCAAGATGTTCTCAGTGAAAGGTAAATTGTTTTCTGAATGAAGCAGTTGCTAGGCATTTATAGATAGTAATTTTAGGACGACTACAAGAAGACACACAAAATTTTTTTTAAAAACATATACCTGGTGTGACATTTATATGTGTTTAGACATATTTTATTTGTATTTTTATTTTTTTCAGTTTTTTAAAGACAAGGTGTCACTATGTAGTTCAGACTAGAATTAAACTCACTATGTAGCCCAGGCTGGCCTTGAGCTCACAGTGATCTTCCTGGCTCAGTCTCCCGAGTGCTGGGATTATAGGTGTGTGCCACCATGCCCAGCTCACCAAAATTTCTGTTTAAATGAAATTTGAATATTCTTATGATTATTAGAGTAGTGAACTTGAATTTAGACCCCATTTCTCCTAACATTGATGTCTCTATATTGCTTTATTCTAATATTTTTTGAGAATTGGTAGAATAGATCTTCCAATTACCAAGTTTCACTTAGATGATGCTTTCCCTTAAGTCTGAGTGACTTTGACTGTGTGGTGTGGAATAAAATTCTATTCCAGATAAGCTACTTCTAGTTCAAGAAATAACTTAATTGGTAGAAAGCATTTTTGAAGAAAAAAGTTACAAGAAATCATTAGTCACAGATTAAAATGTGGCAGAAATCACCATTTGGACATGTTATGTAATTATTGCTATAAATTTTAACTTTATTCAAAGTTTGCTATTGGCACTTGAGTGTAGGAAGAATTAGGAACAGAAAACAAGAGACCCCTCTTACTAGTCTTTTTATAAAGAATATTCCTTACTAAAAGTAAGACATGATTAATATGTATACTTTACATATGTAGTTATATATAGAAATGTGCATTTAATACAGATAGGATTAATAAGTATTTATCGATGGAATTCTTAATGTTAAATTAATTTCCAATAATATTAGGATAATCTAAAAATTATTATGTCATTGGAAAGATTTAGGAATAATTGCAAAATTGAAAGATTTATTCTACTAAGTATCTGCATGAGTTACTTTATGCCTGGGTTTTAAATATATTAAGGCAACAAATACCTTTCAAAAAATGAACTTTGTAGTTTACCTTCTAAGTAGAGTTGAGAAAATAAGTTCAAATAAGGGATATTTCTTTTGCCTTCAGGAATTCATTCAAGAGTTCTTTCATTAAGGGCAGTTTCAATTGTGGTACATATTATTGCGAGCTCTTAGTAATTAGATTTAAAATACTAGAATTCCAGAATGGTCCAGTATAGTACCTTTTCTGTATTAATCTTACCCCTCTGAATTTTAAGAGTATATTTAAAGATTATGTAGTCCAACCCAATCCGATATTTGAAACTTGAGTTTTATTAAAAGCAAACGCTTTCTTCAAAATATGGACTATACACTTGTGTTCAGAATATTTTAAACTCTTTATCTTTCAAGAATTAAAATTTTCTTTTTAAATGATTGGGTCCTCATTATTTTACATTTACAACATTTGAACTATGGCAATTAAAAATCTAGGATTTTGACAGTCTGATCGCTATCAAATTGACATGTGCTTTATAATGATGGATTCTCTATAAAAAATGAAGTTGCTGGGCTGGGGATTTAGCTCTGTGGTTCTACCGCCTGCCTCGAAAGTGCAAGGTTCTGAGTTCGATCCCTGGTACCAAAAAAAAAAAAAGTTGCTTATTTCTCTAGTTGATCTTTTTTTTCTTTTTTTTGAGTCAGGGTCTTACTAGTAGTTTTAACTGACTTTGAACTCATTATGTAGCTCAGGTTGGTCTCGAAATCTCAGTGATCCTCCTGCTTCAGACTCCCAAGTGCTGGGATTACAGGTGTGCACCACCAAGCCTGGCTGATCTGGTTATTTTTAAATCCAGAGGTTTTTGTTGCTTGTCTGTATGTAAGCATTTAAGAGGCTCTTTCAGGAATTCTGAGAAGTGATGGGCAGAAAAATATGACCCAGGAAAAGGGGGTTAATAATGGAATTCCTAAAGAAAATCACACTCCTTTGTGAATGACTTTTAAAAATTCTTTAATGACTTGCTTTAATTTACTTCAAGCCTAATTTTTTTTGTACCGGGGATTGAACTTGGGGATCTTGCGCTCGAGGACAGGTGGCAGAACCACGGAGCTAAATCCCCATCTCAAGCCTAATTTTGACAGCTATAGCAAACTCTTCCTTCCTAATTTATACACACACATGCACAAATAATATATGAGAGAGAGTGTTTGCTGGTGGTTAAGATGAGGGGAAAAGAGTAAGGCCATGAACTGTATGTTAATATTTGCTATACATTATGATTTAGATACCTAGCTTTCTTTTTTTTTTTTTTTTTTCTGGTACCTGAGATCGAACTCAGGACCTTGTGCTTGCAAGGCAGGCACAGTGCCACTGAGCTAAATCCCCAGCCCGATACCTAGCTTTCAATAGTGAGTTGATAGGTGACCTTATACCCTTGGCATTTGGCTCAAAAGTACATGGAAACTGACTATTTGTTTTATGTAGTGTATTTTCATGTTTTACAATTTTGGAGACTAAAAAAATGAACTCAAAATAGTACAAAAAGAGAGCTTCATAGTGATGGATAGTTACTGATTGTGATAGTGGTTATAGGAGTCTACACATGATAAAATCACATAGAATAATATTCACTCATTGTGTAAGTGTCAGGTTCTTGGTTTTTTTGGTTTTTGGGTTTTGGGTTTTTTTGGTGCTGGAATTCAAACTCAGGACCTTGTGCTTCCAAGGCAGGCGGTGGAACCACTGAGCTAAATCCCTGGCAGGTTCTTGGTTTCATACTGTACTACAGTTAAGTAAGCTGTAACCTTTGGAGGAAACTGAGGGAAGGGTATACAGGACCTCTGCATACTAGCTTTTGCACCTTCTATGTCTGCAATTATTCCAAAGTTTAAAGAAGAACGTTAGCCCCAAATTATTTAGTTATTTATGTTGTATTTTACAATGCACTATTTCTTCCAAAGCAAAATTATTAGTTTGCAGTATGCTACCTACTTTTTCTGCAGTATATATCTGCAGTATCCTATCTACTTCTGATTTAATTTAGCCATATTTTTTTCCCCACTGTTATTACAGAGTGAGGCTGAACAGTTCCAAGACACAGTGTTTTCAGTTGAAAAACTGGGAGAGCTTTTGGCCACCTGGGATAAGTTGATTACCTTGTTTAAGGAAGACACTAACTGGAGAGAGGCAGCCTATGTATGGGCTGTTACTGATAAAGAGGTGTCTTAAATGTTTGTGGTTCCATATGGCTCCTTCTGAAACTTAACTTAAAATCTATGTCTACCAGTGCTTCTAGGAGTATCTTTTGAAGCTCTTCATCTTCCTTTTTACACATTCCTCTTCTTAAAAAAAAGTCTTGTAATCTGTTAGATGTTTTCATCTCATTAAGTGTTTCATGTTTTTTAGCAGTGCCATCTTTCCTTAGTCAATTATATTGAATTTTTAAGATGTTATTATGGCATTAGATATAAGTTGATATGTATTAAGGAAAATCCTTTTTTTCGTTTTGTTTTGTTTTGTTTTTGGTACCGAGGATTGAACTCGGGTCCCGCACTTGGGAGGCAGGTGACAGAACCACTGAGCTAAATCCTTGGCCCCATCCTTTGATTTTTGAAGTTGAATGCAAAGAACTTGAAGAACTTTTTTTTTAGTATATGAGCTGCCAAAGCGAACACAGAACTTGAAGAACTTAAGGAAAACAACTAGCAACTTTATGAAATAGTGATCCTTTGATTTTTAAAAAATAAAACTTAATATTATGAATTTGTCTTATTGGGAAAAATGTAGTTTTCAAATATAATATTAAAACATGCTTTTTTAGTAATAAGTATAAACTGATATGAAATGTTCATTTTTTCTCACCCTCCACACTGTACTTCTATTATTCTTATCTTAGAATTCTCAGGTAGTTAATGTAATTCTTTGTAAAGCATGTTTCCAGTTACAAGATGACTAAAATTAGCAAATGATTGTGGACAATTACAAACATGTCCTGTACAGTGAATTACTATACCCTCTACGACAGAGACAACATGAAGTAGTGGAAAAGCTGTATCTATGTTGGTATATTGAATCATTCATTTCCCTCTTTGATTTTGGAGAAGCTAAAGCAGGAGAAAAGAATCAGAAATGCACATAGGGGAGAAAATGGTATTATAAAATTGTTTTGTGGGGCTAAGGGTTAGTGTTCTCCTTTCCATGGAGGGGGATTAGTTAACTTTTGGGGATTCAGGGACTCTTTGGAAATTAAATAAATGCTTTGAGCTTCTTTCTTGAAGTTATCCTTGTTTACACAGACTTCACATTAAGAACTTCTGAGCTGGGTATTGTGGTGCATGCCTGTGATCACAACACTCTGGGAGGCTGAGGCAGAAGAATCACACTTTTGAGCCCAGCCTGGGCAACTTAGTGACTGTATCAAGACCTTGTCTAGCTCAGTGCAAAAGGCCCTGGGTTCAATCCCCAGTATCACCACTGCCAAAAAACAAAAGCCTTGGGGCCGGGGATTTAGCTCCGTGGTCTCGCCGCCTGCTGCGCAAGCGCAAGGTCTTGAGTTCGATCCCTGGTACCAAAAAAAAACAAAAAAAAAATTTTGTAAAATGAAATAAAGGTAGATCAGTGCAGTTTTTTGAGTTAAAGAAAACTGTAATGCTCTTTTTGTAGAGTAGTTTACAATTGAAAATGAACTTTAAAATGTATTATTTGACCCTTTAATAACCTTAAGAAATGGGCTGTGTAAATTCCTTTGTTCCTAGCTTAGATGAAACAGTTAAGGCTATAGGAAATTAAAACACTTCCTTAAGTTCACATGCCTGATGAGTAGCTTATCTCTTGGCTTGGCAGATACTGTGCTTATTGAATGTCTGCTGTGAGTTAGGCCCTGGGCCAGCCAAAAGGGGATTGATTATAGATGATGTCACCCCCCCTTTTTTTTTTGGTACCAGGGTTCAAACTTGGGACCTTGCACTTGTGAGGCAGGTGGCGGAACCACTGAGCTAAATCCCCAGCCCCAAGTCTTTCCCTCTTAGGAGCTTAGGAGCTCAGGTTTGACTACATCAGTCAGATTGGTAGGTATTGAGTGTTAATCTGCATATAGTCCTGAGTTCTGTTTACTCTGCCTTATTGTTTTTTAGTGAATACAGAGGAGAAGTATTTCATTAGGACTAACATATCAATGTGTACTGATTTCTAGGTTTGAAAATAACCTGGTTATTTGACTTATTAGCATATAAGTTGAATATCATCACAAAAACATGATTCATAGGGACTGTAGGAAGAGACATTGAAGTCGAATGCAAAGAACTTGATGTCCTTTATAATAGTAAAATAAGACAACTAAGTGAAATTGTGGCTGCTTACACTGATTTTTGGACTTTTTATAATTTATTTTTCAAAAAGTAGATGTTATTGACAAAAATCTAAGGGATAATTCTATGATTTTGTTTTTAAGCATTTTTTTGAGATAACCGATGATCAATTTGACTTCCATATATACTGCATGAGAAAGATGACCCTTCCTGCCTATGTTGACCTTTTGAGATTAGAAGATAGTCTCAGAAGACATGCCTTTTATTTCAAGGCTACTAGATCAGCGATTGAAATATATTTGAAATTATATGATAATCCTTTAACCAATGAAAGAAAACAACAAGAAATAAATTCAGGTAACTGAAGAGGAATTTGTTTAAAAAAATTGAAAAGAACATCATATTTCAGAATATCATTAACATATGCAGTACAGAGAAAAATATATTCTCAAATATTTATGAAGGTAGAAATGCCGCCACCCTGATTTGATCATTACATGCCATATACATATATTGAATTACCTCACTGTAGTCCATATGTTTGTATAATTAAAATAAGTTTAAAAACATATTGTCAAATGAAGACAATATTAAAATAACTGATATGTTAAAGTCAGTGGGATGATACTCTGTAGCTGATGTTCTCAGTCACCCTAAAGGACTGACTTGTACTCTTTCTTATTTAATAGAATCAATTCAGGAAAAATAGAAATATCTATGGGCTCGGTTTTTTTTTTTCTTTTTAAATCATAGCTAAAAGTAGCTTTCAGCTACTCTTCCTATTTAGGAAAAATACATATTCCTAAAACTTCTGGCACGTACTTACTGAATATAATGCCAGTGAGAATATTTGTATAGCTTTTTACTCACTAGGATGTTAATGTCTAGGAATATTTGAGAAATGGTAACTTGGAGGCAAATTTCTGAGCTTTCATTCCTAATAGTTATATAATGTTTATTGAGCGCAAGTGTGCTTATATGCATTATCTCTTGTCTCTGAAATATTCTGATAGAGTCTGTGATATTAGCCCCTCTGTAGGTGACTTGCAACTTGAGATTGAGAGGGATAAAGTGATTTGCCTGAAGTTGTTTATTGTGTAGGAGACAGAACTGGACCAAAATTGGTTGATTTTAATTCAGCCAGCACTTAGTGATTGCCTTTTGTGTACCAGGTTTTATGCTAGTCACAGGAATATACTTTCAAAATTTTTGATATAGTTATTACCCCCACAAAAAAGCTACATTAATCGTATATATAATGATATAAGAAAAATAGCAAACATTTTGACTCAGAATTTTTGTTCATTTGAATATTTATAGAAAACTTGTCAGCCAAAGAATTGAAGAAAATCCTTAGCAAGCAAAGAAGAGCTCAGAAAAAGGCTAAATTAGAAGAAGAGAGAAAGCATGCAGAAAGGGAACACCAAAAAAAAAAAAAAAAAAAAAGAGATGATGAAGAAGAAGAATCCAGTGGTCTAAAGGAAGAACTTATACCTGAAAAATTAGAAAGGGTGAGATGAGTTTACCATTACTTGTTTTTTTGGGGGGGGTTTTTTGGTGCCAGGGATCGAACTCAGGACCTTGCACATGTGAAGTAGGTGCGGTGCCACTGAGCTAAATCCCCAGCTCAGGTATACCATTATTATTTGCTAAAATTTATGCTGTTTGGTTTTGTTCTGACTATAAATACAGTTTATTTAAACCAATAATCAGAAGCCATTTGCAGTATTTTAAAGTCATTATATGATAGGCATTGTTGACTCTGAGTGACAATATGCAGATTTTTAATAATGTCAATTATACATACGATTGTTATGGCAGAGCAATGGTCCTTTAATTAAGATGTCTGTTCTAATCTCCAGATCCTATGAATACTGATCTCACATGCCAGAGGGGAATTAAGGTAGCAGATGGAATGCAAGATTGTAATTAACTGATCTCAAGGTTGGAATTAGCTTGGTTTATCCATGTGACCCAGTGTGATCAGGTTGGACCTTGCAAGTTGAGGAAGTCAGGGTGATGTGATTTGAGGGCTTAAACTGTTTTTGCTGGCTTTCAAGATGGAATCCATAAGCCAGGGAATGTAGGCAGCCTTTAGAAGCAGACAAAGACAAGAAAATGGCTTTTCCCCTAGATCTTCCAAAACCGAACGAAGTCCTGCTGACACCTTGATTTTAAGCCCAGTGAGATTGTACCATGTCGGACTTTCAAGATAAGTTTGTATTGTTTTAAGCCACTAAACTTTTGGTAATTTGTTATAACAGCAATACCATTATTTATGAAATATGGAATTAAAATGTCTCTCTATATATTTTGGAACCAAATTTTGGGAAATATTTAGCTTTCTGATTTATTTAGTGTAAATCAGGTATAATCATTTAAAATGTTACTTTTTCCCCCAATTATGAGATGCTATTATATATCTTTTATTTTAGCTGGCTGTAGTATATAAGGAACCATCAGTACTTGATGCATCATTTCCTAAAGTCTGTGGAATAATATTAAATAGTTTTTTTATTTTAATAAAGTCACCTTGGTTTTATAGTTATAAAAATCAATATAGTTATTTTAAATTTGAAAATTATTGTCTCTGTGCTTTATAAATAATTTTTAATGTTGATTGGTAACATGAAGAAAACTAAACTGCTCTAGATATATGTTAATATAAAATTTTAGGGGAGATTTGACTTGAATAACTTTTTTTAAATAAGAAAAATTTTCTTTCTGCTTCAAAATAGGTAGAGAATCCATTAGAAGAAGCCATCAAGTTCCTTACACCTCTTAAGAACCTTGTTGCTGATAACATTGACACACATCTGTTAGCGTTTGAAATATATTTTAGAAAAGGTAATAGATATTTTTAAACTTTTGAGTTCTTATTTGTTTGGTTTGTGTTGAGAACAGTGCTGAGGGGGTCAAATCTAGGGCCTCATATATGCAAGGCTCCCCCCTAAACCCACTCAGCCTTGAGTTCACTTTTTTTTTTTTTGAGTTCAGTTTTTAATCCTTAATCATATTGGTGACCATATTTAGTATAATCTTTATCAGATTTATTTTTGTTTCTTAAAGTTTATTTCAGCCTTCACAAAGGCTCCTAATGTCCTTTTTTGTTGTTGTTACTCACATTGCGGGTAATATAACCAAATCCAGTTTAAAAAATAGTTTGACAATCATAAACTTGTTTACCTTTAACAATTTTGCATAGTTTTTCAAGCTTTTCTTTGGAAAACAAAGATTCTGGGGCCAGGGATTTAGCTCAGTGCTGCCGCCACCTGCCTTGCAAGTGCAAGGTCCCAAGTTCGATCCCCAGTACCCAAATTTAAAAAAAAGAGAGAGAAGGAAAACGAAGACTTTGATAACCAAAGTCAGCTTTGAATTTTTTGAGTATTTATAAAATGGTAATATTTTATTACTGAATTTAAGTGAGGCTAAAAGAAAATGAAGAAAATAACACATAAATATTGATACTGTCATCTTTTTGACACAGGAAAGTTCCTGTTAATGCTGTAGTCTGTCAGACGAGCTTTTGCCATCAATAGTAATAATCCATGGTTACATGAATGTTTAATTAGATTTTCTAAATCTGGTAAGTATTAAAAGGTAACATTTATGGAGAAGCAAACATGAGAAGTAAATCTGAGCTATCTTCCATTTAGCTGAACATTAAAGAGACAAGTAACAATGTAAAGCAAAAACAAAAGTGATGCTCACTATATTTAAATGCAGACAATCTATAAATTAAATGTATTAGCTAAATGCTAGAAATTAGTGCATTTTTATTCCAGAGCCTTGACAGTTATTTTTACTGTATAGGATATATCAAGCTTAACACTAAATACAGAGGTTTTTTTGGTTGATTTTTTTTTTCCCCAAAGAACAAATAAAAAGCTAAAAGTCCAAATGTTTTTGTTTTTTTAGTATCTGATCATAGTAACCTTCCAGACATTGTGAACAAAGTTCTATCTCAAGAAATGCAGAAAATATTTGTTAACAAGGATTTGGAAAACTTTAATAAGGATTTTCTCAAACGTAACACTACCTCTCTTCAGCATCTACTTTCAGGTTTGTATTTAGCTGCCATGGTTATGTTTATAGAAAAAAATTAGAATGTGATGAAAAACAAATATTTGGAAAGATACTGTGTCTGGCTGTTTACCAGAGGAAAAAGAAATGAACACAGTACCATTTGTTTTTTTCAAATTAGAGGTTTTTTGGGGGGGGGGGTTTTGTCAAAAAGGAAAATGAGGGCTGGGGATTTAGCTCAGTGGTTTCGGTACCTGCCTCAGAAGCACAAGGTCCTGAGTTCAATCCCGGGTACCGAGAAAAAGGAAAATAAGCTGGGCATGAAGGCGTATGACTGTAATCCCAGCACTTGGGAGGCTGAGGCAGGTGGATCACCGTGAGTTTGAGGCCAACCTGGGCCACATTATGAGTTCAAGGCTAGCTTGGACTACAAAGTGAGAATCCTGTCTCAAAAAAAAAAAAGGAAAATAAAGTGTGGTAAGGATGTGTCAGTCAAGCACTCTTTCACTTTGCTTCTCTGATTATAAATTGGCCCTGTCACTTAGAAAAACAATTTGCCATTCTTGTCAAGAGCTTGAAATTACCTGTGTCTTTTGATTTAGTAGTCACACTTTTGAAAATAATTTTTAAAAATTAAAGCAAAGAAAGAGCTTAGTATGGGGAAAAGAAGAATGAGAACAGATGTATATATACAATAATAGATAATAGGAGGTTGATAGGTTAATAGGATGGTTGGTAGGTTGCTAGGATGGACTACCATATAGTCATTTAAAGCGATGTTTATTCATGCAATTTGTAATGATAGCAATAAATACTTTCACAATACATACTGAAAAATTGCGCATAAAATATAATCTCAGCTGTGTAAAAGTATTCTTGGAAAAAGGATGAAAAGAAAGTACATACCAGGCTTTAATGTTGCCTTTGAGAGTTGTGCTTATGAGTAATTTGGTTTTTTCTTGAATTTTTATTGCTTTAGTGTATTTTCTATCTTGAAGATTTATTTATATCCTATCTTCTTATGGGAAGCATTTTAGAGAATTTATACAAATTCATAAAAAACATGCCTGCCTGGCAAGCACAAGGTCCTGAGTTTGATCCCTGGTACCACAAATTCATAAAAAGACAATATGGCATAAATTAAACTCAGAGAAAAAAAATTATAAAAAAAAGTTGGGGGCAAAATGAAAAACATAATTAACTATTTTAAGCCATATATATATTTATTTCTTTATATATTTTTTGGTACGAGGGATCGAACTCAGGACCTTGTGCTTGCCAGGCAGGCACTGTGCCACTGAGCTAAATCCCCGGTCCAAGCCATATATTTAAATATTTTAACCTAAGCTTTCTTGTTAAAGGTTATCTTCTCATGTTTAATATCTATAGAAAAAATACTACTTCTTGTAAAAAATTAACAGTTTTGTGATAGGAACAGATAATTTCAAGAACAGGATAATAGGAGAAAACTTTTAAAAAAATAATTGTTAGAAAAAAAATAATGATTGTAGGAAATGCTTTCTTAAACATACGAAATTCAAGCAAAAGAAATTTTCAGCACATAAAATTAAAATCAAAAGACCAGTTGGAAGAAATATTCACAGATAAGTAATTTAGCAAAAGGTAATATACAAAAGGACTAAGAATAATCTAATAGAAAAACAACTATGGAATATAAAACATAATTTATAGGAGAAATACAAACTTTTAAAAAATGACTTATTTTCTTTGTGACAATGCAGGCATTTTTCTCTTAATCACACGCCTGTGTATAGATGCTTTGTTCCTTATATGTTTTAGTTTATGATATTGTCTTTTTTTTTACTGAAATATTGATTGATACCATAAGCTAGTCTTTACTTGTATTTCTAATGATATTGTTTCTCAGGAGAAAAGGTTAAAACATTGTTCTTCAGGTTTGTTCAGTAACCATTTGTGAAGGAAGACAGCTCTGATTTGTAGTGTTTTGTTGTGATGACAGTATTCACATTGTGGCCACAAGCTATCAATGAGAGGTATGTCACTATAGGAAGTGAAAAGGGGTATATTATGTACATGTACCAATTCCCTATAGTGAATGTAATCATTGTGTACTGCAGACATTTACTGTATTAATAAATTTTTGAGAAGAAATTGAAGAGATGTCACAATTGGCTTCTGAGAGTTGGTGGGAACCAGCTGTAGTCCATCACTGATTAAACACTTGAAGCCAAAAAAAATTTTTTTTTTCAGTACTGGGGATCGAACTCAGGTCCTTGTGCTTGCACAGCAGGTGGAGAAACCACTGAGCTAAATCCCCAGGCCATATTTTAAGTCACTGGTCAGTATTAGTCATATAAAGTATAAGCCATGGGAGTTTACTTATCTTGAAATGTCTTGGAATTTCAGGTGCTAAAATGATGTATTTTCTAGACAAGTCAAGACAAGGGAAAGCAGTTGCTATAGCCACTAGATTGGATGAAACTATCAAAGATAAAAATGTAAAGGTAAGACTTTTCACAGGCTGATAAATGAACACTGAGTGATCTAATAAAACTTGTATCAGGCTGGGGCTGTAGCTTTCACCTGCCTGGCAAGCGCAAGGTCCAGAGTTTGATCCTTGGTACTGGGCAAAAACCCCCCAAAAAACCCCAAATAAACACAAACACTTGTGTCTTTACAATATAGTTTCCTCCCTCCCTCTCCCTCTCTCCCTCTCTCTCTCTCTCTCTCTCTCTCTCTCTCTCTCTCGTTTATTTTTTATTTTTTGGGTTTTTTGAGACAAAGTCCTGCTGGCCACTGAGTTCAGGCTGACCTTGAACTCAGTGTGTAGCCCAGGCTGACCTTGAATTCGTGGTAATCCTCCTACCTCACCCTCCCAAGTGCTGGGATCTCAGGTGTGTGCCGCCACACCCAGCTACAATATAATTCTTTTTTTTTTCCATTAAGTTTATTGGTACATTTTAGGTATACAATACAGTTACATTCATCATTGGGATCTTGTACCTTTATATGATGTATCTTGGTTCTTGTTTTTTCCCTATTCCTCTGCCCTCCCTTCACCCCCTCATGCGATATAACTAAGTGGATCTCCTGACTTGATACAAATCTCAGCTCCACCAGTTATTAGTTGTGTGGCTTTAAGCAAGTTCTTTCTTAGTCTTCTTTTCTGCATTTTAAAGATGAAATACTGTACTACCCATCTCTAAGTAAGAGTCGTTGTTAAGAGTTACCTAGTGTAATAAAGCATGAAGTAAATATGAGCTATTATTAATAAAGGACACTTTAATTTTTTTTTTTTTTTTTTTTTGCGGTACCAGGGATTGAACTCAGGACCTTGCGCTTGCAAGGCAGGTAACAGCACCACTGAGCTAACTTCCTGGCCGACACTTTCATTTTTAGTGATTGTAATTTTAAAGGTTCTTTTTTTTTCAACTATTAGATTTTACTGCCTTTTTTGTTTGTTTGTTTGTTTGTTGGTACCAGGGATCAAACTCGGGTCCTTGTGCTTGTGGGTCAGGTGGTGGAACCACTGAGCTAAATCCACGGCCCTTTACTGCCTTTTTTACAGCTTTGTAGAAGCTTTGTCTTTTTTTTGAGGTGATTATGTACTTTAGATAGTAGTTATTTTAGACTGAGGCCTTGTTATCTTTCTTGGTTTAATTAGTAATTACTGACTTTTGAGTAAAGTCAATAACTGAGTGTTTTTTCTTTAAATAATTTATATTTTCCCCTTGCTTCATTAGACCTTAATAAAGGTTTCTGGGGCACTTCTTGATGGAAGCTTGGGAAACTGCAGCTCCCAATATGAAGAATACAGGATTGCATGTCACAACTTGTTTCCTTTTACATTTGCTTTTCTGGCTGCTGTGATTGAAGTCCATAGTCCTAGTGCGGCAGTGAACTGTCCAGCTAACTATGATGTCTTGGCAAATAAAATTTGAATCTTGTAGAAAATTGACTCCTACATAATCTAAACTGAATTTACATTATAGTTTCTTTTCTAGACTGCGTTTTAATATAGGTATGAAATGGAATATTTGGGTAGAATTTTTTAAAGGAATATTCTGTAAGTTTATTTTCTTTATCTGACTGCCAATTTACATAAACTTCTGTTAAAGTTACTTTTTTTATACTTGTACAGTTTTTCTTAAACTCCCAAATTATCTATCAGTACTGTAGTATTTACTATTAGTTGTGTATCATAATGAAGGCAATTTTTTTATGCAGATAAAGTTGTATATGTACTCCCTGTATCATTTTTTTTTTTTTAGATCCCGGTTTCAGGATCTGTTTTGATCCTTTACTGATATTTTATTATTATTATTTCCTTGCTTATCTTTTTCCCTTTTTTTTGTTCTTGTTTTAAAGTATTAACATATTTTAAAAAGTAGAATTCCTCTTGGAAGACAGTGAGGTTTATTTTAAACTTTAATTTGCTTTTTTATAACTTTGATTTTTTTTTTTAATCACTTACCATTTCCTTTGTACTATCCATAAAAAGTGATACTTTCTGTATGGATAAAGCATATTCTGTTTTTCTGTAGACCATTCAGGATGTGAAGATTGGTTTGCCTCTTAATCATGAAAGTTCACTGGTAATTTTGTTTCATATCTTATAGTAGGTAGACTTACAACCCACATGGAAGAATTATGCCTTCTTACCTTAATTGCTTTGAGTGTTAACAAGTACTTTATGCTAAGAAACATGCTTTAAGGGTGCATAATAGGGCAGAAAACAAAAATGAAGCACTGTTACTCTTACAGCCATGCATTAGCTATTAAATGCATTTTTATATGGTCAAAAACTGAAATCCTTCACAGTAAAATCAGGAACAAGACAAGGTTGTCCGCTACCACCACTCTTGTTCAATATTGTTCTGGAAACATTAGCCA